TCCTGTTCGAGTAATATCTGTGCGAGCTCTCCGAAAGGCTTGAAATAGGCACCGCTTTCATATGGTTGAACAATAACCAAAATTTGTGCGGTACATAGCTCCAAACTCTTCCATTCTTTCTACCTTCTCCTTGAAGAATTTTCCTCACCAGGAATGGCACCTTCCTGCAAAAAAGAGCGTGAATAGATCTGCCTTTGACCATTTGAGCAATGTCAAAGTCTTCTCACTTACACTATCTTCTTCTGTACATAAAGGTTCAGGAACATAATTAAATTGTGGAGTTTCCTAAAAACCGATTCTTTAGATGACGATTTGATACGAGTATGAAAGCATGAAGCAGGTTGTCACATACGTTGTTTAATCTTCGATCTAAGAGGATGTTGTCGGCTATAGAAGTATATTCTTCATGGTGTTGTCTTTGAAACCTGAAATCCTTCAGACATTAAACGGCGGAATTCTTTTTTAGAATTTGTTTCTCATCACAATAGCGAGCCTTTTTAGAAAAATGTTGTTAGAGCAAAATAAAAGGCGGAATTGCGACTCAAAATGACAACTGTTATTCTTAACTACTATAAAATGTTATAACTATGATATTTACGAGTGCTTATGTGTCATTGGCGATGGTCGTACTTCTGCCATCAATTCATTATCACTTTCTGAGCCAGGACTTGGTGAAGCTATAGAATGCTTTGGAGAGCCGACGGCTAAAACTTCAGCAATATAGTTCAAATATTAATCCCAACTTGAAATCGTACCTTTCTCTTCTTCGCTTTCGTTCTTATCGACCAAATCTAAAACAATGGATGGAATTTTTGAAGGTTCTTCTTGGATTGTTACTCTGGGCAGAGACCGTCGTCGAACAGATGGTCCAAGCTGGAAATACGAGGTATAGGTGCAAATGTTTTGCAGTTTACGAATGACTGTGCATACTTGGGAGGTGTCGTTGAAGCCCGTATCTGATGGATTACTTCGTTTTCTTTTGTCAAAAGCTTTCAAAATCTCCTTGGTAATAACAGGTGAGGGACGCCCTAACGTGCCATCCTCGGAAGTGGAAGGTACGACCTGTGCCTTCAGCATTTGTTCAAGAGCAGAATTTATCAGTCTTAATGAGTCCATTTCCTCCTTCTAAAGGAGAACATTTCAGAATTCGATG